ACCTCAGAGCACCCCCAAGCCCCCCGAGACCTCCCCACTCACCTGCCTGGTCACCCTTAGTGAGAGGGAGGTGGCTCAGGAGGTGGCACAGCCCTGGGGGGACACAGGGGGACATCAGCACCCCAAGACCCCACCTCGAGGAGGGTCTTTTGGGGGGGTCAAACCCGATTATCTGTGATCAAAACCCCCTTTGGGGGCTCAAACCTTAATTTTGGGGACTCATTCTTCCCCCAGCAGGGCTCAACCCTCTTTCTTTTGGGGTTAAATACCCCCTTTTTGGGCTCCATGCCCCCATCGGGCCTCAAAACCTTATTTTGGGGGCTCAAACCCCTCCTTTTGGGGGCTCAAACCCCTCCTTTTGGGGCTCATTCTTCCCCCATCAGGGCTTACTCCCCCTTTTTGGGGCTAAATACCCCCTTTTTGGGCTCTACATCCCAATCAGGGCTCGAAACCTTCTTTGGGGGTTCAAACTCCCCCTTTTTTGAGTCAAAACTCTCCTTTTGGCGTTCATCTGACCCGTATGAGAGCTCAGAACCCCCTTTTTGGGCCTCATCCCCCCCCCAAAGCTCAAACTCTTCTTTTGGGGGCTCAAAGCCCCCCGTGGGGTGTCAAAACCCCCTTTTTGGGTGTCAACCCCCTTTTTTGGGGCTCAACCCTTCCCCATCCGGGCTCAAATCCTTCTTTTTGGAGCTCAGCACCCACCCCCCCAGGCTCAAACCCATCATTTAGGGGCTCACCCCCCCATTTCAGAGCTTGACACCCCCCTCCCAGCTCCAGCAGCCCCATTTTGGGGCTATTTCAGGCCATTTTGGGCTGCTTTGCACTGCAGCTCTTACAGCCCCGACCTACTTCCGTCCCTGCCTCAGTTTCCCTTTTCCCATTTCCCTCTGTTTCACCCCAAAACACCCCCCCCGGCGGGAAGGGGGCATGACTCGCCCCAGAGACAGGCAGCGAGGGGGGGGCACCCCATGACAGGAGACAGAACAGGGGACGCGGTGGCCCCACGGCATCGGTGGCAGAGGGGAAGTGGCACTGGACAGCCCCGAAACCACCAAACGGCCCCACAAACCGCTTCCCCCCAGCCCTCCCTCGTCCCCACCCTGGTGTGGGCTGAGGCCCGAGGCTGCTCATGGCACGTAACAGCGGTGATGGGGCCCCCACGCCTGGACACCTGGGTCCCTTCTTGGGGGTGTTGACCCCATAGTCTCATCCCTGCCTGGACATCTGGGTCCCTTCCTGGAGACATCAACCCCGTGGTCTCATCCCTTCTTGGACATCCGGGTCCCTTCCTGGATAATCTTGGGTCCCTTCCCAGACATCTGGGTCCCTTCTTGGAGATGTTGACCCCATAGTCTCATCCCTTCCTGGACATCCGGGTCCCTTCCTGGAGCCATCAACCCCGTGGTCTCATCCCTGCCCGGTCGCCTGGGTCCGTTCCCAGAGAAAGTGATTGCACAACCTTGACCTCATTGCCCGCCCGGGCGCCTGGGTCCCTTCCTGGAAAAACCAACCCCGTGGCCTCGTCCCCAACTCGGACACCTGGGTCCCTTCCCGCAGAATCTGACCCTGTGGCTCATCCTCATCCTCATTTATTGTTCCTCCTGGGCAGGAAGAGGCATAAATTAATGACGGGGGGAAGGGTAGGGAGGGATGTGGTGGCCTCTGAGGGGGGATACAGGTGGTGGGACACAAGGTGGTGGATGGGATGGGGTGGGAGTCCGTAGTCAGCAATACTCCGAGTAATCTTCCTCCACGTAGTTTGCGGGGAACCATCCAACCTGGGAGGAGGAGGAGGAGATGTTGGGGGAGAAGGTGTGAGGAGCTTGGGGGGGACCCTGGGGTGGGGAAGGGGCCATACCCGCCCGTAGATCTCTCCTTTCCACCAGCCTGGGTGGCCCTTCTTGCTGAGGACACGGATGATGTCACCCTCCCGCAGTGTCAGCTCCGTCCGGTCCCGGGCGCAGAAGTCATACCGGGCTTTGGCCGAACCAAAGCTGCGCACGGCTCCTGGGGAGGGGGAGGACATAGACACAGACGAGTCCCCCAGGTCATCCGCCACGGCCGTCCAAGTCCCCTCCACCTGGTCCTCGTGGCCATTTGTGGCCCCTTAACTGTCCCACGGTCCTTCCCTCAAGCCATCCCTTGGCCACCTCTGTTGAGGTGTCCCCAGAACCCAGCCGTCCCCCTTGGCCCAGTCCCAAATCGTCCCTCTTGGCCGTTCGTCCCTCCTTGACTCATCCCATCGCTGATCCCTCAACCCATCTCTTGGCCATCACCAACGACTTGACCCCATGACTCAACCCCCAACTCGTCTCTGTCCCTTCAGCTTCGCGCCCTCGGCCATTTGTCCCCCTCCACCCGTCCCAGGGCTGCTCCTCTCCCTTGGCCTCAGCTGTTCCCTTGCCTCATCCCTTGTCCCATCTCTGTGACTCAACGGTCCCCCTCAGCCTGTCTTCTTGACCATGACTGGAAGAGGACCCCACCATGCCCACCCCACCACCACCACCCTGATGGGGGACCCCACCACCTCCATCCCACCACCACCTTCATCCCACCCTCACCCACAATGAGACACCCCACCACCTCCACCCCACCCCATCCCCCAGGTCCTACTGGGTGGCCGGGGACCAGCCCGGCTCTCGGGCTCCTTGAAGGGCACCATAAGTGCCGTGTCAAGGGCTTTGAAGCAATCCTTGAGCGAGCTGCGCTGGTAGAACTCCACCAGCTCCTGTGGATGACACAGTCAAGCCCCAAGGTCACCGTCAACCCTCACCCCTGATGTGGGGAGGACCCAGAGATCTGGGTTGGGGGGCGGGCAGAGAAGTGGGCTCCGATGCTCACCACCAGCCCCTTGAACACCTTCTTCTCAGTGAGGCGGTAGAGCCCCTCCACCGTCATCACCTTGATGTGCTTCACCTCCCCACGGTACCTGGGCGGGGGGACGTGGTGGGCTGAGCCGAGGACCCACACCCCTCCACCCTCCTTGTCCCCCCCGCGAAGGTGCCCCTGGTCCCTACTTGATGCTGATGGCGAATTCGCCGGCGTCCTTCACCCGTTGTCGCACCAGGAAGGCGCCGTCAGAGCGGGGCATCAGGAGCTGCTCAGCTTCTCCCCGCTCCATGGGACCGGCGTACCTGGGGGTTGTGGGATGGGGGTCCTGAGCCCCCAAACTGGCATCTCCCGCCCCTCCCCGGGTCAATTCAAGGGCATTTAGGGAGGGAAGGGGAGCTGTGGGCTGTGGGGCAACCCAGGTGAAGGATGTCGGGGGAAGACACACCAGGAGGGTTGGGGGGCCCCTGGGGAAGGATTTGGGGGGGCCCTGGAGCTATGGGGTGATCACTGGAGGGATGAGGGGTTCAGAAGAAGATTTTAGGGGCCCTGATGCCAAAATGGTGACCCTGAGGAAGGGTTTGGTGGGGGGCAGGAAGGATGGAGAGCTCAGGGGAGGATTTGGGGTGATGCCAGGAAGGATGGGGGACGCTGAGAAAGGATTTGTGGGGCCCTGGGGAGGATTTGGGGGGGGGCATGGAGGCTACAGGGTGACTGGAGGAGGATTTGGGGTGCCCCAGGGGCTATGGGGAACCCCAACACTGACCAGGGGTAGACGGAGAGATCCGGCAGTGGCACCTGGGGGAGAGAAGCGGAGTTGGGGATCAAGGTGGGGGGGCAGAAGGTGACTCCTCTGGGACCCCCCCTATATCCCACAGACACCCCCCCAAATCTCAGGACACCCTGAACATCTTGGGGCCATCAGGGTGGGTGCAGGGGCTCCTGGGGACAGGTTGGGGTCCCCGTACTCACACAGATGAAGGGTCTCACGGCGGCGCAAGGGAACCAGCCCAGGTCACCATTGGTCATGTTCCTGCCCTGGGGATGAAGGACCATGGGGCCGGGGGGGCAGGGGGGTCCCCCTGCTCCCCAGGAGGCTGGAGGGACCACAGGGGTTCAGCCTGGCCATGGGGGTCCAGCTCCATTGTGGGGGTCTGGCCCATCTCCGTTGCAGGGGGTCAGCATGGCCGTGGAGGTCCAGCTCCATGGTGGAAGTTTGTCCCCATTGTGGGGGTTCGGCATGGCCATGGGGGTCCAGCCCCACGGTGGGGATCCAACATGGCTCTGGGCCTCTGGCCCAGCCCCATCATGGGGGCCCAACCCAACCATGGCTCCCCAACTCATCATGGTCTAGCCCATCATGGCCGTTGTGGTCTGAGCTCACCATGGGGGTCCAGCATGGACCTTGGGGTCTGTCCCAGCCCATCATGAGGGTCTATTCCAGCGTGGCCATGGTGGTCTGCCCCATACTGGAGATCCCTCCCAGCGTGGCCATGGTGGTCTGCCCCATACTGGAGGTCCCTCCCAGCATGACCACGAGGGTCCCGTCCCCACCTGCCACCAGAGCTGCTCAGCCTCGGCCACGGTGACCTCCACGACGTCCCCGGCGCTGAGGCGCAGGGCAGGCCCCAGCCCCCCCGGCGGCGGTGGGATGCCGCTGTAGGGTTGGCTGGCCTCCATCTTGGGCAACCCTGGAAGGAGGATACACGATGCGGGGGTGAGGCCCGGCATCGGGGCACGGACACTCCTTCTGCCCCCCAAACACGTGGACCCAGGCATCGCTGTCCTCACCCAGGTCTCCCCGCTCCTTCTTGGGGCCCGGCCGCTGCGACTTGTTCTGGGGAGCAACGAGACCCCCGTTAGTCCCAGTTAGTCCCCCCGCGTTCGGGGCATTTCAGCCCATTTTGACCCGTTCTGCCGTTACCTTCCTCGTGCCAGAGCCCGACTCTGTGGGGTGGAAGAGGGAACACTCATTACTGGGGGGTGTTTAACCCCTGCCTTAATTAATGCCCGGTGCTAATTAGGCTCCTATGGGGTTGGGTGGGCATCGTTAGGGTATCCCATAATGCCCGGCTCCACCTGGGCCTTGCTCCACCCAGGCCACCCCTATCCCACAATGCCCTGCTCCATGTTGGCCATCTTGTATCCCACAATGCCCGGCTCCATGCCAGCCATCTTGTATCCCACAATGCCCTACTCCATGTCAGCCATCATGTATCCCACTATGCCCCAGTCCCCCATCCCACAGTGCCCCGCTCCTCAATGCCATGATGCTCCACTCCCCCACTATCCCATGATGCCTCTCACCGGCCCCGCTCCTGCCGCAGGTCCCCAGCCGCCCCAGACACTCCTTGTGTGCAGGGGCCCGGCACCGGCTGCAGCGGTAGCCCTGGTAGAACGTGCCCCTGGGGGGACAACAGGACACGGGGAGACACAGGGACACCATCAGCACATGGGGACATCTCGGCCCACCCACATCCACCCACCTTGGCCCACCCAGGACTGACCCAATCCTAGACCCACCTGAAGCCTTGGGCCAAACCAGTTCTCGACCCACCAGCTTCTTGGCCCATGTTGGCCTTGGCCCCGCTAGGATCAACCCATCTTGGTTTTAACCCATCCAGGGATTGACCCATCTTGGCCTTGGCCCACTCAGGACTCGACCCACCCAGGCCTTGACCCACTCTGGTCTTGACCCACCTTGTTGTCCTCCACCCAATTCTTGACCCACCTTGGCCTTGGGGCCACTCAGGGCTTGACCCATCAGCTCCTTGACCCACCCAGGCCTCAACTCACCCAAGACTTGACTCACATTGGCATGGCCCAGCTGGGCTGGACCCATGCTGGCCTCGGCCTACCCAGGACTTGACTACCCAGTTCTTTACCAGGTCAGACCTTGACCCACCCGAGCTTTGACCCTCCTTGGCCTCAACTCACCCAGGTCTTGCCCCATGAAGGCCTCATCCCATCTCTAATGACCTCTCCAGGGTCTTCCCTTCTTCCAGAGCCCTCCAACCCCATCTTCCAGGTCACCCTGTCCCCCATTGTCCCCCCAGGGTAGTGGGGGACATAATTTTGGGGTCTTACCTCAGCAACATCTGGCAGGCCCTGCAGGATGTAGTGTCCTCGAAGGAGAACATCTGGAAGTCATGCCCATCGGCCAGGGCATGCTCGGGGAAGATGTTGGAGCTGGCAAGAGATAGGGCGACCTGGGTCTGGTGGGGGAAAATCGGCCTCCCCAGGGTTATCCAGCCCCCAGTGGGGCAAGTGCCCCCACCCCAGGGTGCAGGGGCACCTACAGGGCCATCTCGAACTGCTCCAGCCACTTCTTCTTCAGTTCACGGGTCTTGAAGAAGAGCTCGTAGCCCTGCAGCCCAGCCGTGTCGATGAGCAGGAAGGTGTGGGTCCACTGTGGACATGGGTGGGGGTCAGCAGCGCCCAGACGCCTGGGGTCACTGCCTTTTTTTTTTCCTGCGGCCACCAGGCTTTAGTGTGTCCACCAAGGACCTGGACACTTGGGTACACCAAGGACCGGGAGGCCTGTGTCCATCAGACCTGGACGCTTGTGTCCTGCAGGGACCAGGATTCTGGGATCCACCAGACCTGGACAACTGGATTCATTGGGAAGAAGACACCTGGGGCCACTGGGAACTGGACACATGGGTCCACCAGGCTTCAAAAGGTCCATCAAGGACCTGGACACTTGGGCCCACCAGACCTGGATGCTTGGGCCCACCAGGGACCTGGACACCCGAGTACCTTCTTGCTGTCACAGGGGCCGAGGCCACCATCCCGTAGTTGGTGGCTCTGCAGGTCCACGACATCTTTGGCCTCGTAGGAGTCCCCACGGCGCTTGCAGATGATCAGGGCCTTGTCCAGGAGGAAGCCATACCTGGGAACAGGGGTGGCACTGAGTTCCCAAGGCCACCATGTGCCTTTGGGTGTCCCCAACACTGCCCCAGTCCCCTGCTTTGTGACAAGGGTGGCCCCAAGGTGTTCCTATGTTCCCATCCTTATGTCCCTGTGGGTGTCCCCATGGAGATCCATGTTTTCCCATGTCCCCGTGGTGTCCCTGTGGTGTCTCCATGTCCCTGTGGGTGTCCCCATGTTCTTGTGGTGTTCCCATGTCCCCGTAGGTGTCCCCATGGTGTCCCCATGGTGCCCCCTCGCCCCATCCCACCTGTCCACCTTGGAGCGCCGCTCGGTGCTGGAGACCTTCAGCTCCCCGTCGATTTTGGGGCGCCCGAACTGCGCCAGGGACTGTGGCTGTGCCGGAGATCAGCAGGGATGTGGGGAACATGGGGGATGCATGGGGGACATGGGGATATGGGGGACACGGGGGGACTTGGGGATATGGGGGACATGGGACATACGGGGATTTGGGGGAAA